AATTTAAGAATACATGTATGAAGTATTTTAAGGGTTACTGCCAAAAAACACCCCAATATGTATGAGTACAGTGATACCCCCCATGTACAGGTGTGTCGGGTTCTCTGGGGACTAAAATACCTTATTTGGAGGGTGCTCATTCCAGTTTTCCAACTGGGGATTTTCTCAGCAGGTCATCATGCACCCATGTCCTATTTGGGAAATTTTTAAGACGGCCAATGTAAATTACCCCCATCAAACCATATATTTTTGAAAAGTAGACACCCTACGGTATTTCAAATGGTGGTATTTTAACACTTTACATGCACTAATTCTACCACCAGTCTTTGTCAACCATTTGGGTAGTTGTTTTTTTGTGTTATATTTTACACACATTGTACTTTAGGCATGGATTCTCAGTTCCTGTTATGTGTTACTGACAAAGAACAACCCAAAATGTGATCAGCAAGATCTCCAAAGTACAAAAGTGCACCCCAATATACGTTTTATGTTTTTTTGCAAAAAACTTACAGAGGTCAAATACAGAAATTTGCCATATTGGTTTGCTGGGCCTATGTTCTCTTTGAGACCATATAGCAGCCCAGGAATGAAAATTAACACCATCATGGCATACCATTTGTAAAAGTAGATAATCCATGGTATTCAAAACGGGGTATGTCCAGTCTTGCCAAAGTTTGCATTTATATTTGTTTTTGCATTTTTGTTTTACACAAAAACTGCACTTTTAGTGGTGATTTCATCGTCGTGACTGTTTTAAACACTTATATTTGTGTTCAGCGAAGTCTCCCCAGTATAACGATACCCCCATGTACAGGTTTTATGGTGCTTTGAAAAGGTAAAGAGTCAATATAGGGCTTGCCCAGTTCAGTTTGCCAGATTGGTTTGCTGGGTCTATGTTGCCTTTTGAAACCATATGGTAGCCCAGCTATGTGAAATAACCCCATCATAGCATACCATTTTCAAATGTAGATAACCCAAGGTATTCCAAATTGGGTTATTTCCAGTCTTTTGTAGTAACCACTTCGTCACAAACACTGGCCAAAGTCTTCATTTTTATTAGTTTTTTTCATTTTTTTTTTACACAAAAACTGCACTTTTACTTGTGATTTTATCATCGTGATAAATTTTAAATTTTTTTTAAATATAATTCTTTATTTTTGTGTGCATTGCGTAAAAAACATGTACAGTATACACATTGATGCGTTGTAAGATATTGCACAGTAGTTTGAATTTCTGCACGTTTATTTATATATTTGAACATTTGCCTAGAGGACATGGTGGAAAGTAGTGTATCAGAGACATCAGGTAAGTAGCGTGTCTTATTCTAGGTGGGTAAATTACAGTATAAGAGTAATTTGAGATGGGTTTGGAAATGTTGGACATTTATACCATTTTACTAATAGTTAACAAATTTAAATCGAGAGTTATTCGGGAGTGATGAAAGTGTCGAATGATGCCCTGAGAGAAGAGCTAGCATGGGTATGATGCATGGATAACGTGCCCTTCGATAGAAAGAGCGGCATATGGAGGGGCTTAATAGGAGGGGTTCCTATCCTTGGAACCCCTCCTCCAGAAAATCCGCCAAACCGAGACCATTACAGGCATTAAACTTCGCACCGAATATTACAAGATCGCAGCCTACACGGACGATCTCTTACTAACACTGACACACCCTGCCTCCTCACTTCCCCCCCGCTGGCCCTCCTGGAAGAATACGCCGCAGTATCAGGCTACAAATTAAACCTTAGCAAAACTGAAGCTCTACTGATCCACGTCCCTAATGAGACACTAACAAATTTACGACTAGAATACCCGTTCCGATACGAGACCCAGAGCATAAACTACATGGGGACACTTCCCCCGAGGGACCTACACCTTACCTACCAACTTAACTACCTCCCACTACTGGGCAGGGCTGCCCAGGACCTGGACTGATGGCAACACCTCGCCATATTTCTTTATCTTTTCCAGGCTGTGCCCATCACCATCTCTAAGCCGGACTTCAAGTCCCTACAAACACGTATAGACAGATTCATTTGGAAAGGAAAAAGAGCCAGAGTAAAGCGATCAACGCACTACGTGCCACACAGGATGGCTAGCACAAATCCAGAACCTGCACGCCCCAGCAGGACTCAAAATATGGGTGGACCTGGAACATGACCTGTACAGCCATGACTTCCCCTCCCTACTCCTATGGCTACCCAAACAAGACACTCCACCCAACTCTGGGACCGGGTGACCCAAAAACACAACCTCATCAACATCCCGTCCCCACTAACGCCACTACTACTGAACACACGAGTCTAACCGGGCATGACACCCCAACACTTTGCGAGATTTGAGGACAACAACTTAGTAAGATTCTACCAATTATTTCGGGGACAACAACTAATCCCCTACACGGACCTCCCGAACACTACCCCACTCACGACATTTGACCACTTTTGCTATCTACAGATCAGAAGCTTCTTGTCCCAACCAAACAACCACAAAATAGCCACCACTACACATGACCTTCGAGAAGATGTGCACTCGCACCCCAATACAAAGGGGACAAATCTCCACCATATACAACATCTTGCACCTCACCAGATCTCCCGAAGCCCTTTCATACACCACAGCCTGGGAACCAGACATAGGCCCCCACGATGACCCATTCGACTGGAGGGACATATGGGAAACCACAGCATCACTCACCATCTGCGTCACCCACAAAGAACAGGCCTACAAAACCATGTTTCGCTTGTACATCAACCCACTAAGACGTCAACAAATGCGCCAAACAACCTCCGATCGCTGCTGGAAAGGCTGTGGGGAACAAGGCACATACATCCACCTCTGGTGGAACTGCCCATGCATCGCTCAACTCTGGCGCGACATAGCCCAAACGGTCAACAGGACACTACATAGCGACCTTCCACTGGACCCCTGGATATGGCTCCTATCCAAACCCCATGAATCACTAACCAGAGCCCAAAACAAACTTACAGCCCGTATAGCACTGGCCACCCGAAGAACGATAGCCAGACATTGGGAAGCAACACACCCCGACCACAGCGGAGGTGCTAAAGAAAATAGAAGACTCAATGGAAATGGACAGACTGTCCGCCCTGATCCACGACGCCCCCAACTCCTACCACAAAATATGGGACCCATGGCTACTGAGACCCACACAGACACCATAGACCCTGAGACGGCCAACCACCTCCAACTAGATGAACCCCAACCCCCCCTTCTCCCCTCCTGCCCACCCCCATATATCTTCTTCCCTCTCTCCTCTCTCTCTCTCTCTACTCCCACCCCTCTCCCACCCAGACAACGACCCCCGTAGATGGCGCAATTACATCACCAAAATTTCTTGTCATGGGGTCCTTTTGCCTTTTTGCATAAGGGGTTAACTGGATTTGATGATGAGTTCTATAACATTTTGGCTTATCTTTATGGCCCCTATAACTCTACTTTCCTGCCAATTTAAAAGGCTTTACCCCAGTCTGGGTGTCTGTAATTTTGATCGTAATTTAGTATTGATACCTCCTAACCTAAATTTCACCCTTTACTTACAATGGGACTTTGTAAGATTTAGAAAGTAAAATTAATTACTAAGTGTTATCTGTCATTGGTGTCTGGTTTTTTTGTGAAGCTGTGTTTAAGATTTATTATATTCCACGAATATTATTAAATAATATGATATTTCTTCATGAATATTTATCCATGAATGGTCTATATTATTAACATGATACAAATTCTATGTGATTAATATAATAATAGTATTATAAGTGGATAGTGTGTATATGAATATATAATTATGTATACATTTGTCTCTGGGTTAGTATTCCATCTCCCTTCTGCTGTTAGACATCATGCCTTATCACTTTTCTTGTTTACATAACGCATTCCTTAGCTCTGTGTCTTTCTTAGCCTTGTAATACAAATATGGAGTCACCTATGTTCTGAATGTGACTGGCAATATACACTTTTAATTTCTGCCTTAACACAAAATGTATATATATTGAGATAAAGTGAAGGCAGTGAGGCCGATAACTTTTAACCCCAGGGGGAGTACGTGTTGTGTATATGGTGTGCAACACAAACCTACGTTTAGTTATGAGCCCCCGGGGTGGAGCATTTGGAGAGCAGGGTGGGCCAATGCTCCACTCCTCAGTTTATACACAACTGGGAGAAATAAGGTCCAAGCCATTATGGACCGGGGCCGTCATCCTGCGGGAAGGGGTTAATTGTCCATAGCAGAGAGCCCCAGGAGGATGGAGTTCCCAAGTAAATTGGTTAATCTCGTAAGAGCAGGCATTAGGCTTCAATAGGACCTTCCAAAAACAGGGAACATTGGTGTAGCAATGTGTGATCATATACTGTAACTAAATTTGTGTGTCACTCAGTATGTAGAGGGATTCACTGTACAGAGCAGTTTGTATCGCTAAGAGTATGAAGGATTTACTGTGTAAAGCTGTGTGTCACTCAGTAAAAAAAGGGCTACACTGTGCAGAGCATTGTGTGTACCACCAAGTATGTGGAGGGATTCATTGTGCAGATGATCCAATGTGTCCCTAAGTATATAGAGGGATTTACTGTGCAGAACAGTGTGTATCACTGCACAATAAATCCCTCTTTATACTTAGTAACATGGAATGCACTGCACAATAAATATACCTTGATCTGTATACTGAGAAACAAACTGCTCTGCACAGTGAGTCCCTCTATACATTGTACATATATTATATGTCATGGCTAGATATTAGAAACCAACACACACTGACCCTAATCTATTGAAGGAATGGAATAACAAGAGAAAGCCAAGGTCAAAAGTAGGGGAGAACAGCATGAACGGGAAGACAAGCCAAGGTCAGGAACACAGAAAGTGGAGAGACGATTAAACAAGCCAAAGTCAGTAACGATAAATCCAAACAATATTAAAACGCACTCTTGGGTAATCAAGAACCACAACAGGGTAACTTGCTACTGAAAGCCCTGGCTTATGTAGCCAGGGAACTAATACAATTGGTCAGCATCACTTTAGAGCACCTAAAGACGCGAGTTCTGCCAAATGCAGAACTCCAGTGCCTCTGTTCTTGCGAACCAATAGATTCGGCAATAAGAGTCGCACCGTTATGACGTTGGTGTGACTTCATACAAATAGACGCGCATGCAGAGCGTGCTGCATCTGATACGCCACTGGATTGGGGAGCTCTGGAATGGGTAAGCATGACATATGTATATTTATATATATGTTTATGTGCCAGACAAAGCAAAATGAGCAAGTTTATTGTAACTTTATAACCACCTTTGAAACTTTTCTTGCTTTATTTTAGTTTGCATTTTTGTTTAAACCCTTAAGGACGGTTGGCGTTCTATGCCATCCTTGGGGACATAGCCGTCCTATGTACTTAGCCGGTCGCCTGTGATCCCACATCCTTGCGAGGACCATGCGATCACATGGACGGCATAGCCGTCCTTTGCATTTGTAATGACAGGTACTCCCCCTGCAGCCTGAAAATAGTAGGCAGGGGAGGAGAGGGGAGGGAAGGGGCAGCTACAACAAAAAACACCGAAAATACCACCTCAGAGACACAATAACTGACACAATAGCCCATGGGTATGGTAGAAACTGTTAACATCACTATTATCATATTATATTATATATTCTCTCCAACCTTATGACTAGATGCCACCCTCCTTAAATGTCAGGACTCTTCTTTATTAATAATGACTGTTTTTGAAATGTCTGGAGATTTATCTACGGCAATGAAGGGCTCTGTCATGCCAAAAGCATGCGTTGGTGTTTGATGTGTGTTTATATATGTTAAGAGTTGTTTTTTTGTAAACCTTGGGATGACATTTATTGTGGTCTTTGATCTTGCACCAGGCCTAGACCATAAAACATCTAGATAGCCATCACCAGAGCTGGACACAAGGAATTTCATAGAGTGGGCAATAGACTGCCAGACCAACCCCCTCTGATCCCCCCCCCAGGGGTCTGCCCACTGAGAAACAACTAGTTTAGATATATGAGGGTGTTGGACTATCCAGGGAGTTCAGTTATTAATTTTTCTTTTGTCAGCAACTTCTAGGAGACCTATACCATCTAAGACTCCCACAAGAATTCTATATGGGGTAAATATATGTAAGGAATTTCTTGTGTTTTCTCCTATTTTATTTTATGTACTGTTTTGCAATTTGTTATCTGTATGTCATTTATTTCTGTATTTTGTACTCAGCACTGTGAATCCTTTTTGTCAGATTAAATGTTTACTTAATCAGCTTGTGTCTCTGTTCTCTATGAGCTTCACTCTCCAGAGGAAAGCTCAGGTAAACACGTTACCAAAAAGGGTTAACTATATATGTTTTATCAGTAAAAGTAGCACTGTGATACTATAATTCTCCTGTGTGTGGGGTAACCTAAGACGCCCGGGTTTAAAAGTCTTGGTGGTGGCAGTAAAGTGTGTACTAAGGGGTTAGTGTAGAAGGGATTGCAGGGGTTAATTGAGTGGTTGCTGGGACTAGCAACAGGTAACCAGGGGTCTGGTGTCATTAACCCTGTCCACTTCCACACTCTCCCCACTGTCTCGGCTGGGCCTATAGCCCACGCAAGTGACAGGCTCATTACCCCAACCTACAAGATTGTGCTTTCTCCGATAATAGTCTTGTACTGATAATTTAATACCATGCTGTTGTACTACTCTGTTGCCCTTATATATAAACACTCTCACTCCACTAGAGTAGGGAACAGGTGATATTGAGGAGTGTACTCAAATTTGAATACGTGCCTCTGCTGTAGTTTGCCAATGCGTATATATTAACTCTATGGGAGTGGTTAATAAATGACACCAATAGACATATTAAGACCCCACATGAGGGTAATACACCCAACTAAAGTGCTATACCATTGACCTTATGGGGGTCACCAACATCCCGTACCTCAGTCATTTATTTTCCTATTTCTGTTCCAGTTTTTTTTATTTAGAAAACTCACATGAGCAGACAGTATGTTGTATCCCTACAGGGGTGGCCACACAAACTTATAAGAGAGAACTTCTCATGTGTATTTTGTAAAGCTTGTGTGTGCTATTCCTGTACAAAGTTTTATTTTGTGTTCAGTTACATCTGCTGAGTCCAACAATACCCCCATTGTATGTCTTTCATGAAGCTACAGTGCCATATAGGAGACCTGTCCTTTTCAGTATTTACAGTAGAATTATGAGAGACGGATTTAATTGGCCTATGCTTCCATTTGGGGTATTAGAACAGTTTAACTGTTCAAAAAAAAAACACAAAGGCCTACCATTTGTAAAAGTAGACACTCCAGGGTATCTCATATGGTGCATATTGTGCCTTAACATGCCCCCATTTTTTTTCACCAATATATGCCAAAGTATGTGGTAAAAAATAAATTTGGGGCGTTTTTTTTTTTACATACGGATTGCATTTTTGCTGAGCATTTTGTATATTTCATATGTGTCACTAAGTTCAAACCCCCCAAATTATGCTCAGCTAAGTCTGAGTAAAATGACACCCCCGATGCCATATAGGAGACCTGTCCATTTCAGGACCTACAGTACAATTTTGAGAGATGGATTTAATTGGCCTATGCTTCAATTTGGGGTATTATAGCAGTGTGACTGTTCAAAAAAAAACAAAAAACACAAAGGCCTACCATTTCTTAAAGTAGACACCCCAGGGTATTTCCAAAGGTATATTTTTAATCCTTAGCATAGGATCATTTTTGTTAGTTTGTACCAAGTCTAGTTGCAATTAGCATTTTTTTCTGCCTTTTTGACACACACTTGGAGATGTTAACTGTATATTTTGCAATCCTTATATGTTGCTCAGCTATGTCCTCTTAGTCCAACAATATTCCAATTTGTACCTTTTTCAGGAATATGTGGATGTTGAAGGGGCACATTGGAAACACAACACTTTCATATTTTTTAAAAGTGGATGCTGGGCCCAAGTCTCATTTTAGCAGCTCAGGACTGCAAATTACCTCTCAAAGGTCACATATATTTATAAGTATAAGCAGCTCATCAATTAAAATTATGAACATGTGCATACTATGTGCTGTGAAAAGGGGGAATAGTTGGCGTAAACTTATCTGGGGGTAGTACCCAGTTATCTGCGTCCCGGGCAAAGCTGTCATGGATTCCGAAACCAAAACACAGGCAGACCACAAAGAGAGAGAACACAGAGAGAGAAACTTGTAATACTGGTCCTTAAAATGACGTGTAAATGTTAAAATAAAATATTTAAATTGGATAAACACTATCATTTGTACTCACCATTTGGCAGGATACAATTCTTAGGTTGTTCTGAGGTCAGCAGTTTCCAAACCTCCAACGCAATTACTGACAATGATAGCTGAAATTATATTTATTTTCTGTATCATTTAAATCTGCTTTTCTCAAACCCCTTAACCCTTGTTGCTTGGTTTCAATGCAAGAAAATTGGTCAGCTGTTAGCAGAAAAAAAAAGAAAACCTATCTAGGGGTTCTACAATCCAAAGTCAGTGGTCCTGCACTTCGTTCGGACTATTCACACTAGAGCCAAGTGAAACAGTCTTCTTTTACCTGGATTGTCAGTCACAGTAGATCATCTTTCCAGTTTCTAGAATTACATAGTATACCAGAGGATAGCTATACTTTCAGTCTTGGGAAGCATCCATAATACAGATTTTAGAGTATCCTATGCAGCCTGAACTGTTTTGACAAAAATACACACACATATAATACAGAAAACTGCCTTGCGTTGTGAGGAAATGCCCTGCTACACAAAACAGAATTTGGGAGTGGCTAAAAAGTAATAAAATAAGTATCTAATGTATTCAGCTTGTCCTTGTCACTTGTTACATTATTTAGTAACAACCAATCCAGTGAAAAATGAGAGGGGTATATGTACCACAGGCAACATAATTAACCCCTTCATGATAAAAGACCTGTCATGACCAAAGACTTGTCATAACTATCATGCTATATAAGGATTTGCAAAATGTACCAAATGTGCTACTTTCCAGTTCACTGCTCGCCATATAATGTCTTTACATGTTGTTTTGACCTTTGTCATGTTGAAATGAGATATGTGAAGATACAATGGCTATGTTAATAAATATTCCCTATTTGTCCAGTACTGCTGCAATACTGAACCCAATTCCTGTTAGCTATCAGAATAGGTTTCTTTATGTGTGCACATCCCCTCCATTTTTAAATGTCCTTTAAACAGGGCAAATATTTATTAAGTGTTAATTTACGAGAGGATTTTCAAGCTTGTTTAGCATGGCTCATTATCTCGCAAAGGAAGGGATGAGGAGGCAGACTTCACTGTCATGGTTTCCTTCAATAATATATATATATGTGTGTATATATATATATATATATGTGTATATATATATATATATATATATATATATATATAATATGTATATTGTGACAAAAAGAGACTTTCATTTGTCACATGGCACAAGATACAGAGCCGCCCCAATGCTAAGATATCTGCCTGCCTGATCTAGTATGCTTTTGTTGTCAAGGTGGACTTGCAGATGAGGGAAGAAAAATGTAATTTGTATATCCCGATGTAAAGTGAAAATAAAGGCAGTTGCTGTTTATACCAATAAAGAAGCTGTTTTGTCTCTTTCCTTGCTGTAACTATCCAAGATCTGCTATAATGTGAATGCTGGTGGATAAAGAGACTCCAAGCCCAGGTTGTGGCGGGACTGCCTAAACTTTAAATTGCCTTGTTTTATATGTATGGATGTGCCCTCCTAGAATGTGTTTTCCCCTCTTTCATATTCCCCTTTCTGTAATTTTTATCATAACGTCCTGAAATATATCTTTTAACTGCCCGGGGGCACTCTGACACTTAATTTAGAACATTTACTTACAATGTTCACACCTCGCTAGCGAGGTGTGAAAACTGCAGACCACAAGGAAACAAGCGGCGCGTGCTTATCCTGGGTGGCCGCCGGTTCATATTACCGAATGCCCACCAGGGGGAGCATTCAACTCCCGAACCGTGCCGGACCTCCCAATCCTCCAATTAGAATGTTCACACCTCGCTAACGAAATCCACTGGAGAGAGGGACGCGCGCCAGCAGGGAGTCCCTGCGCCTGCGAGTCATTCTCACGCCCGCAGGGTTCCCGCTGGCTGCATGGAAGTCCATGTTGACCAATTGGAGAGGGAGTGCCCATTCAAACTGGGTTCGTG